TTTTCTAATTTGGCGTGTGTCTGGTTACTCTCGGCCCGTCCATTTCATTTGGAGGTCCCACCGAGATCGCCCTCTGGGCACCAGACACGGGCATCTCTGGAAGGCCAGGCTTCTCACCGTCCAGGGGGTGGCCACCAGGAAGACGTTCCCTGGCCCCGAACGCTGAGATAGCCCGTGCGTACCAGGCTGCCCGGACCACAAATCCTCAATTGGGCATAGAGCAATCTGTAATCTGTCTGTTCTGGTGAGTACTCTTCTGAAGTAAGTGGCCAGGCTGGACGCAGCTGCAACGCCCTTACTGACCTCCACGGGACGCCGTGTGAGAGTCCTGCCTGTCTGATTGTGTCTGTCCGGCGCCGATGTCACTGTGTGTGTGTGTCCACTGTGCGCTCCGTGGCGGGGTGGGGGAGAAAGACTTCCTGCCTCATTCTCCAGGTTGTTCGGAACTGAGACGGGTTTGTTCTCCGCTACTGTGTCAGGAGCATCCAGGGTTTTGACTGTGTCTTTTTTTCCGTTTTTGTGTCGACTGTGTGTGCGCGTCTATCTACTATTTGTTCCGTGAGGGGGGGTGTAAATTCCTGTCTCATTGTCTAGGTCGTTCGGAATTGAGGCAGTTTGATTCCCCTCTACCCTGTCTTGACTGTGTCTTCCCTGTGTCCGTGTTTGGTCCTTGCTTACGTGAGCACGTCTATTTGTTACTCTTTTCTTTCTCAGTCCTTAATCCACCATGGGACAAGGACCCTCGAGCCCTAAGCCAGGCTCCCCTCTCTTTATTGTCTTACGGGACTTCAAACAATATCGGCGTATAGCAGAAGGTTATGGGTTTCAGGTTACTAAAAAGAAATTAGCTCTCCTTTGCCAACAGGAATGGCCCACCTTCGAGGTAGGCTGGCCCCTGGGGGGTACGTTTGACGTCTCGGTGGCCGGCCGGGTCAGGGGAATTGTCTATGGTATACCTGGCCACCCCGATCAGGTCCCCTATATCACCGCCTGGATTGATTTCAAACCCCCTTCGGGACCACTACAGGTCCAGGCCCTTTCAAAACTAAGACCAGGAACGGAATCAAAGACGACCTTTAGCCGCAAGCCTCCTGAAAGTCCTAAGGTCGTCACACAGCTTTCTCCTGTCTTACCACCCCCTGATTCTGACCCCCTAGATCCAGCTGAGTACTCCCAGTCCCAGGTTTCAGATCCACCCCCGTACCCAACCTCAGGGTCTCTGAGCCCCTCAGCCCCTCCTCTGATAAGTCCACCCCATACTCGAGCAGGTGCTCCTTATGGCCCTTCTAATTCCAGTTTGACCCCAGATTCCACTGTGTCAGCGTTTCCCCTGCGGCAAGTTCCTTCCCCTCCCGGAGAATCAGGGAGACCGTTCATGGTATATGTTCCCTTCTCCACCAGTGATTTGTACAATTGGAAACAGCAAAACCCATCCTTCTCTGATAAGCCCCAGAGCCTAATCTCCCTCCTAGAGACTGTCTTTTATACTCATCAGCCCACCTGGGATGACTGCCAGCAGCTCCTCCGGGTTCTTTTCACAACCGAGGAGCGTGACAGGATTCTTTTAGAAGCCAGGAAGGGAGTTCTGGACCCAGATGGACATCCCTCTACTGACCTGGGGCGCCGCAACCACATCTTCCCTGAGAACCGGCCCGACTGGGACCCCAACACTGATCGCGGTAGGGAAGCACTGGACAGGTATCGCCAGTTATTGCTGGGAGGGTTACGGGCAGCAGCACGGAAGCCAACTAATATGTCCAAAGTCAGTGAGGTTAGACAGGGCAAGGATGAGTCCCCAGCTGCATACTTAGAGCGCCTCTACGAGGCATATCGAACCTACACCCCTATCGACCCAGAGGATCCCAATAACCGGAGAGCCATCGTAATTGATTTCGTAGCCAATTCAGCTCCGGACATCCGTCGGAAGCTACAGAAACTTGAAGGTTTTGAGGGTAAAAATCTGACTGAACTCATGGAAGTGGCCAAGCGGGTGTTTGACTATCGTGAAGAGACTCAAGACAAGCAAACTCGCATGGTCGCAAGGGCGGTAGTGGCAGCTTTAGCACAGGTTCCAGGGGAGGCTCAGAAGCAAGGGTGGAAAGGAAGGCGGGAGGGGCCAAACGCTGGGCGCCCCTATAAGGGTAAAGGCTTGGGAAGGCCTCCTTTAGCTCGGGATCAGTGTGCTTACTGCAAAGCCATGGGTCATTGGAAATCTGAGTGCCCTAATCGCGGGCTGAAAGAGAAGGCAGAGCCGTTATTGACTTTGAATACAGACTAGGGGTGCCCCGGCTCAAAGTCCGTTGTGACTCTTGACCCCCTGGAGCCGAGGGTTACTCTCAGTGTTGGGGGTCAACCTGTCTCATTCCTAGTCGACTCTGGAGCTGCGGCATTGGTCCTGAAATCCCCACTGGGCTCCCTCTCATCGTCCACTGTACAGGTCCAGGGAGCTACTGGACGAAAACAGTCTGTACCCCTCACCACTTCTCGGGAAGTCCGGTTAGGGAAGGGCCTAGTCTCCCATTCTTTTCTAGTAATGCTTGATTGCCCTTACCCCTTGCTTGGCCGAGATCTCCTACACAAGCTTCAGGCTATCATTTCCTTTAAGGGACCTAACCCCACTCTCGGGTTTAACCTGCCACAACTTGTTCTCACCTGCCCGTTGTCAGAGGAGTCTCGCCTCCTCCCCCTAACGTTTTCCCCAGACTGCCCCTCGACCACCTCCACCCCTACCTCCCTAACTCTGTTGAACCATTTCAAAGGCTTGGTTCCTGGAGTCTGGGCTGAGACCAACCCGTTTGGTCTAGCAGGACACCAGCCCCCAGTGGTGGTCCAGCTCTTGTCCACAGCAACCCCTGCGCGTGTCCAACAATACCCGTTGACTCGAGCTGCCCTTTTGGGCATCAAGCCTCACATCGATCGACTCTTGGCGGCAGGCATTCTACGACCCTGCCAGAGCTCGTGGAACACCCCCCTACTTCCAGTTCACAAGCCCGGGTCTGGAGACTTCCGTCCTGTCCAGGATCTACGAGAAGTCAACGCCCGGGTGGAAACTGTACATCCTACTGTGCCAAACCCGTACACGTTGCTGTCTTCCCTGGACCCTGCTCGGACTTGGTATACTGTTTTGGACCTGAAGGATGCTTTCTTTTCCATTCCCTTGGCACCAGTAAGCCAACCTATATTCGCTTTTACTTGGACAGATCCTAACACTGGGACATCCTCTCAGCTCACCTGGACCCGGCTTCCCCAAGGTTTTAAGAACTCCCCTACACTTTTTGGCTCAGCTCTGGCCTCCGACCTGGCCGCCTTCCGGGTCTCGTATCCGGAGGTCACTCTCCTCCAGTATGTTGATGACCTTTTGTTAGCTACTTCCTCTGAGGCAATATGCAAAGATGCAACTCTCCACCTTCTCCAGCTGCTTGAAGCTTCCGGGTACCGTATCTCTGGAAAGAAAGCACAACTGTGCTCTCAATCCGTTGTTTACTTGGGTTTCACCCTTCGTTCTGGTCAAAGGTTACTGTCTCGGGGCGTGTAGCTGCCATTTTGGGCATGCCCGCCCCGAGGGACCGCCGCGGGCTCCAGGAATTCCTGGGGATGGCTGGATACTGTCGCCTCTGGATCTTGGGGTTTGCCGAGGTTGCCAAACCCCTATATGAGGCCCTAACTGGTGAACCCACCCAATTTGTTTGGGGACCACGGCAGCAGGAAGCATTCGACAAGCTCCGAAAGGCGCTGTCCAGCACGCCTGCCCTCTCCCTGCCAGACCTGTCCAAGCCCTTCCGCCTCTATGTGTCTGAGTCTCGAGCTGTGGCCAAAGGGGTTCTGACCCAGCCCCTGGGGCCCTGGAATCGTCCTGTTGCCTATCTCTCCAAGCAGCTGGACCCTGTGGCTTCCGGGTGGCCCTCTTGCCTGCGAACTGTGGCGGCCGTTGCCGTCTTGGTTAGGGAAGCCACAAAGCTCACTTTCGGGCAGCCTCTTGAGATTTCAGCATCACATCATCTGGAACAGCTTTTACATTCCCCGCCGACAAGATGGATCTCAAATTCACGCCTGACTCATTACCAATCCTTACTCCTAGATCCCGCGCACATCTCTTTCGCTCCTCCGGTCACACTCAACCCGGCCACCCTGCTCCCTGACTCCCCTCCTTCCTCCCCTATACATGACTGCCTGGACACACTGGACTCCATCCACACGTCCCGCCCTGGACTTACTGATGTTCCTTTAACAAACCCCGACCTAGTGCTCTTCACGGACGGCAGCAGTTTTGTTCAGGAGGGGATCCGTAGGGCGGGTGCAGCCGTGGTCACTCCGGTTGAGACCCTCTGGGATACCGCTCTACCCCCTGGCACATCTGCTCAACGTGCTGAACTCATTGCCTTAACTCAAGCCCTTAGACTCTCTGCAGGGAGGCGAGTAAATATTTACACAGATAGCCGCTATGCCTTTGCCACTGTTCATGTCCATGGATATGTATATCTCCAAAGGGGTCTGTTAACCTCGGCGGGAAGGGAGATTAGGAACAAGAGTCAGATCCAGGAACTGCTGGATGCTGTCTGGCTTCCCAAGGAGGTGGCGGTAATTCATGTTCCTGCTCACACCCGTGGAACTGACCCCCAGTCTCTAGGGAACGCAGAAGCGGATAAGGCTGCCCGAGCGGCTGCCTGCAAACCCTTGATACCCGCTATGGTCGTGGAACCTGAGGGGATGCTTCCTGTCCAACCATCTTATCAATCCAGTGATCCGGATGGCACCCCTGAAAAGGGGGGATGGAGAAGACACCCAAATGGCTTGCTAATTCTGCCCAAGGCACTGTTGCTACCCCTATTGATGACTCTTCATAGCCTTACCCACTTAGGCGGAACCCGGCTTTACGACCTGGTGAGCCGACACTTCTACAGCCCTGGGATGAAGCAGGCGGCCGAGGAAGCCGCAAGAAGGTGCCTTGCATGTGCCAAAGTCAACCCACGATCACAATCAAGGATACCAACTGATAGACCACGAGGAACATTTCCTGGCGACCATTGGGAAGTAGACTTTACTGACATGGGAACTGGGTTGGGAGGGTACCGTTTTCTCCTTGTATTCGTGGACACATTTTCTGGATGGCCAGAAGCATTTCCAGTCAAAACTGAAACTGCAACCGTAGTGGCCAAAAAGCTGTTCTTTGAACTTATTCCTAGATTTGGCCTGCCGGCCTCGATAGGCTCTGACAACGGCCCAGCATTTGTATCTGCAACAATTCAAAGCCTATCAAAGATGCTGGGATTGAAATGGAAATTGCACTGTGCATATAGGCCTCAAAGTTCAGGGCAGGTAGAAAGGATGAATAGAACTCTAAAGGAACACATTGCTAAACTTAAAATAGAAACTGGCGATAGCTGGGTCAGTCTCCTTCCCTTCGCCCTCCTCCGGGCCCGGTGTACTCCCAATTCCTCAACCCTCTCTTTATCTCCATACGAGATCCTCTATGGAGCCCCTCCTCCTATTATTCCAAGAGTATCTGCAGCTATTTCAGCCCCAGATTTTACTAATCCGACTCTTCTTAAGTCCTTCCAGGCTTTGCGTGAGGTCCAGAACGCTGTGCGCTCGGTCCTGAAAGCTGCGGGGAAAGAACCAGCCCCTGCAACCTCATCGGACGCCCTGTCACCGGGAGACTGGGTCCTCACTCGCAAGCTTCCAGCTGGACCAGCCCTGGAACCACGGTGGACGGGCCCGTATCAAATTATCCTCTGCAACCCCTCTGCCGTCAAGGTTGCCGGCCGCATCGGTCACACATCAAGAAGGCCCCAGAGCCCAACTCCACCGCCTGGACAGCAGAAGCAGTGTCCGACCTAAAGCTTCGACTCTCCAGAACTTGACTCTTCTTCTCTTTCTTTTTGCTTGTGAGATGACTTTGGGTGACCCCTATAGCCCTACCCCATCCAGGTGGATTCTCTCCCGAACTAACAATGGGACCACCGTCCAAGCTCTCACCAGTTACGGAGCCCCCACTTTCAGGTTTGACCTCTGTGCCCTCTTGGGACCAGGATGGAATCAAAACCGGGCTATGCGGGACCCTATCGCTGGGGGATGGGGATACTGCCCCACTTTTCCCACCACTCCAACCATACCCGGGGTAGGGGAAGTGAGAATCAGAAGTATTGAATTCTATGTTTGTCCGGCCACGGGGAATCCTTCCTGTCAGGGTAGTAATCACTTTCACTGCGCAGAATGGGGTTGTGAGACTGTGGCCAGGTGGATTCCTAGAGGTGGCCGAGACCCCCTAATCACCCTGGAGAGACAAAGCCCCCTCCCCGCCTCCTGCTGGCCTGGGAAATGTAACCCTATGATTCTAACAGTCAAGCAGGACACCGATGACTCTTGGAATCTCGGACATTCTTGGGGTTTGAGGTTATACATGACTGGATGGGATAACGGGGTCCTTTTTACCATTCAGAAAATCGCAGTTTCCACCCATACACTCCCCATAGGACCGAATCCCATCCTTAACCCACAAGCCATGTTGACTCTCGCCCCACCATCTGTTAGGGACCTGGTACCAGAGGCTCCCGAAAATCCAGAGACCCTCACTAACCTAGGTTCCCCCATTTTTGATACACTCTCTGCTGTCCACTCATTCCTAAATTTGTCTGATCCAAACATAACCACCTCCTGTTGGCTGTGTCTGAATCCAGCTCCCCCCTATTTCGTAGGAATTGCTATCGAACTCAACATCACCTCTGTGGGAAAGTTGTCTTTAAGTAAGTCCAAACAATCCTCTGCCATACCTGCCCGCTGTAACCCAGACAAGCCTAGACTTACCCTAGACGATGTCCAGGGCAAAGGAATGTGTTTGCTCGGGCCTGACTACCCGCTGCGGTCCTCCCCATTCAACGCTACGTGCACTTCAGTCATTCTTATTTCCCCCACATCCAAAAGCTCTGGCCTCCTGTTAACAGCCCCACCTGGAGTATGGTTCGCTTGTACCAGAGGACTCACCACCTGCATACAGGACATTCGTTTCCTCAACCCGACCGAGCTCTGTGTAGTGGTGCGTGTCTTTCCTCAGGTATATGTCTACTCAGAGGAAGGGGCAGCTGAGCATATTGGCTTAACTCGCTCCAGGAGGGCTGTACCCTTCTTGGTTCCCATACTGGTGGGACTCGGAGTGGCCGGCTCCGCTGCTGTTGGGGCCTCAGCCCTGATACAGGGGAAAGCCAACTACGGTGCCTTGAGTGCACAGGTAGATAGGGACCTACGCTCCTTGGAAGAGCTAGTCTCACACCTTGAGACTTCCCTAGACTCTCTGGCCAAAGTGGTTCTCCAGAACCGCCGAGGCTTGGACCTACTGTTCCTCAAACAGGGAGGCTTATGCATGGCATTGGGAGAAACCTGCTGTTTCTACGCCAATCGGTCTGGAGTTATTCGGGAGTCCTTGCAAGCCTTTAGGCAGCGGTTAGATGAGAGGGACCGCGCACGGGCAACGGGGTCTTTTTGGTATCAGACCCTATATAATTGGTCCCCCTGGCTAACCACCCTACTCTCCGGAGTGGTGGGCCCTCTGGCCCTTCTCCTCCTTGGGTTACTCGTGGCCCCTTGTCTCATAAAATGCATCACCCGCTATGTCCAGAAACGAGTGCAAGCACTCCAGTTGTTTGTCCTGCGTCAATCCTATGCTCCTCTGGACTCTGATGAGTCCCCCGTCTGACTCTTTTCGTCCGTGAAAAGGGGGGAGTGAAGTGGACTGAGTTGTCACAAAAAAAAAACAACCCCCTAGCCTAA